GCAAAACTGATCCAGAACAACACAAATAAGCCAGATGGAACTATAAATTTTAAAGCAATTGAATCATTGGTGAAAATCCACCCATATACAAATCATCCAATTCACTTGGTTTCATAGTTGAGTTTTTACAACCCTTCCCGGAAGAAACACGTTTATACAAAAGGTTCTTTGCAGACCTGCTAGGGCTTCAAGCTATATGAAAGAATTCTGTAAAAAAAGAAAAGGGCGGGGCATCTCATTAATGATAAATTAATGTTGTTTTCACTTTTAAAGTTTATACAAAGAGTAACATTTTTGGTTAAAAAAAATGACCTGCTATTATTTCAAAAGGTACAAAAATATTTCCGTGGTAGGGTGCAGTGATAAAACTCTAGAAGGCACCAGAAAGCATCTTTAGAAAGTCACTGAACTCATCCTTCGGACTGAAAACAGGAAATGTATGGTTGGCCCAATGGGAAGAGAGGGAGGCGTTGAGACAGTAACACATTACAACTCCTCTTTGAGCTTTTTAGGAACAAACACATGCCATCAAGAGGACCTGGCTTCAGAAGTGTGTTCAAAGTGAGATGTGGTTCAAATCCTAAGTGAAGACCATGAGCTCCGTTTGCTGACCAACCAGTTGGTGAATATGCTTCCGGAAAACCAAATATGACAAAGAGAAACAGATCAAAGGCAAGGACAGGCTTTTCCAGAGATCAAGATCTCAGTAATTAGGCAGACATTAACCAAAGAAAATCTCTGGCTTCACATTTTAAATTCAGGACAGTCGAGCCCAGAGGAGAAAGCTTCATGGACCAAACTGTTTTGCCTTTCCCTTAAAATAATAATACAAGTTATTTAATTTCAAAAAGATGAAGAGAAGGGGAAAGTTCTGTATCCTGACCCCAAGTTCAAGAGCAAAAGAAATGAAAAGGACAAGGTGAGTGCGGACACCTGGAAGAGGCAAACGGGCCAGCCCCACAGGACTACAAGATAAGTGCAGGGGCTTCTGGGGGACCACTGAGGACAAAGATGGGAGCTTTGTTGAACAGCAGGGGGACCTTGGATAGAGGTAGAACACATGCCCAAATTCACTCAGTTTAGGAAAAATCCCTCTGACCTACTATATGGGCAAGGAAATCAGAGAAGACAATCTTAGAACATTCCCTCAATTTTTTTTCTTCTTAATTCTTTGGCTCCCTATCATTCCAGGCTGCAGAATTCCATCCTGTGTACAGGACTTACCAGGCAAAGTGTGCATTTACAACTGTTAAAAAAAAAATCAACGGTTACTCAAAATATAAACATTCAAAATGAAAGAAAAATAAGAATTCACACATGTGAGGATCTGAGTGAAAAACAAACTGAGACGATGTTTCTTGCCAAAATTTTACAAACTTTTCAAAGGTGCCCTGGATTGTCTATGTTCTTTGTTTATTTAACCTACTTCACACACACATACACAACATTATCACAGTTATCATTTTAGGAAACGTTGTAACTACAGAACTTTCTTTTTGACCAAATGATTAGGAAGTCGATTGTCGCTGATAATTGAGTAAAACAATGAAAGTTAAGTTGGATCATTCAACACTCTGCCAAAAATGCATTTTCTCCCTTCTGGCTGTAGTATTTCTAAGGCTATATTGTGCTGCAATCTAGAAAACTATTCTGAATTCACCACCTGGCATGATTTAAACCTCCTACAAATGCTGTTAGGAGCCTCTGTTGGGGGCAGTCTGTTACTAATCACTATCAATGTTTCTCCACGTTCTACTGGGCAGGAAAGTTCAGCTACACGAGGCACATGGCATTAAAGTGCCCCAAATACATAGTAAACAATCTTACGGTTACTGGAGGAAAGGGGGTGGGAAGGAATAAATCTGGGAGTTTGAGATTTATAAATGTTGGCCACTATATACAAAAATAGATTTAAAAAAAACAAATTTCTACTGTACAGCACAGGGAACTATATTCAGTATCTTATAATAACCTTTAATGAAAAAGAATATGAAAGGGAATACATGTATGTCCATGCATGACTGGGACACTGTACTGTGCACCAGAAATGGACACGTTGTAACTGTACTTCAATTTAAAAAAGGGGGGGGGTGCCTAAAATAGAAACTGTGGCATTTTGCATGAGTTAGCACTCCTGTTACCCCAAGCCTCACATCCCCCTGTGCTGCTCAATTCATCACCCTACCCAAATATGAGCAAATTAAGTCATGTAAGTCACCTCAAATAATAGTTTTTTCCAATACAAAAGTTAAAATAGAATTTGAATGACTACAGGACTGTTTAATGGGCTGTCAAAGTGTCCCTCAGTACCAGCACTCTTCCCCAAAGCCAAACAGCACGTTTAGGACTAGGGGGGAGAGGAGCAGGGGCTGGGGATCTCTCGGCATCTCCCAGCTCTTCTAGGAACAGAGCTGCAGCAGGAGCTCAGGGCTGGACTATGTACAGGAAGAACCTAGAAAAGACCCCAAGCACCAGCTTTCGGTATTGCAAAAAGCTGCACTTATTTCTCTGAGAACCGTAGCCTTCATCCCACCACAGCCATCTCCGCTCCACTGAGACCCTTCTGGCCGGGAGACATGAACGTCTGTCCCCTTCCATCTCTGTGTCACCCCAAATGCAAGGAGGAGATAGGAAACAGTCACCAGAGAAGTTCCAGATTTGGGGGGAGGCAGAGAGAGGGACGAAAGAGCAAGTGCCAGGGAATAAGACACATCTGGATGAGAGCACTGCCGACGGGCAGAGACCTACACCTAGGAACTCTCACCAGCACGGACGCCTTTTAATGAAACACCGCCCAATTAACATGATGAGGGCAAAGATGATTATGATGGGAAAAAAGCAAGTGTTAAACAGACAACCCACAGAATGAGAGCACTCAGAAAAGGCTGAGCTTAAAACAGAAGCAGAGAAATGCAGGCAGCAGCCCAGCCCAGTGGGAAAGGAACCAGAGTGTCAGAAAACTACCCGGGTGGCCCCTGCAACTCCTCCTCCGCCCCTACCAAGGATGTCAACGCTCAGGGCTCACTGCACGCCCCGCACAGGCCAAGGTTAGACATATCTGTTCTCCTTGAATCCTCACAACCAAACAAGGCCCCAGGGTAGACATGAAGATGAGATGTCAGGGAGAAATGGGTGGCATTCAGGCTCACCACCTCCCACCAAGTTAACCTCCCAGTTTTCAGGGTCCTCGTACATGAAGTGCGGTCATGACACCTCCCCAGGATGGTTGTGAAAATGAGAGATAATGAACTTAAGTGCCAACTAGAGGCTGTTATTAGTGTAATTAATCAGATTAAAATTATCAAGGGTGAAGAACAGAAGAAAGAAGTCGTAATTGAATAGAAATGGCACCAGAGAAGTAGTAATGGAAACAGAGCACGGAGGCGGCCCACAGGTGATGGAGGCTCAGGGAGGGGAAGGGTGGACTGAGCCTGCACGTGGCTCCCCGCTGTGTGTCCGCGGGCAACTCATCATGTAAACTCTCCGAGCTTCAGTTCCCACCTCTATCAAGTGGGTATTAATATCTGCCCTTCCCACTTGGCAGAGCTGTTGTCAGGACAGTTATGGTCCCCAAGTTTACAGGCAACAAGTTTATCATGTGTATCTGTTTAACAGATGGGGAAGTCCATTTCCCCTTATCCCATTTCTCAGGCAAAATTCAAACACTCAACTAGTGGAACCATGTCAAAGTCAGGCAATTACACGTGGCAAAGCCACGACCTAGCACGTGCTTCCTTTGGGCATCACTGACAGAACTTAGTTAATTTAAACTGACACTGAAGGTTCGCTTCAGGCTAACCTCCTGCAACTTCTACCTTCTATAAACCACCCCCCTTACCTGCTTTGCACTTCCCTCCCAATTTATGCATTTATTCCTCTCTGGAATGTTGCTCCGTTTCGTCTCCAACTGACCATATCCCAGTCATCCTTGAAAACCAGATTTAAATGCTTTCTGGGCACAAGGAAGTAATTCACTTATCTCTACACTGCATATTATCTTTTCTGAATGTCTTATTCCACTAAGCACTTTCCTGTATTAGGATCACTGGGGTGGATGCCATCTCTCCCACCAATCTATAGCTTAAAGGATGCTGGCAACGTGTCTTTCTATCCTTTATGAAGACCTGCCTCACCTTAGAGCATGAGACCTTTCACAGGGCAAATGTATAAAACCTATGCAATAATGCAGAAGTTTCTCTCTGTTGACTCGATAACCTTTTGGAATCAGTGCAACAACAGTAGTTGCCATATTTTAAGATTTAAAAAAAGTATTTAAAATGTAAAGTAAAAAAAAAAAGAATGTAAAGCACCAGGCTCATAAAAAAAGTTTATGCGGGCTGACAAAATGAAAATGAGAAAATACATTCGGAGTCTGCTGTTTTCCAAGTGAGCGTTAAAGGTAGTTTTGAAAAGTGGGTTAATTATTTTTAAACATGCATCTTACTTCATTGGCCTCAGTCACCAAGAAAATGCTTCCTGGAGAGTGACAGCCTCAGACCAGAGGAGGGAGGAGGCAGGGCGTTGCCGTCGTGCTGCGGGCACTCAGGTGTCCTTGGTCCCCTTCCATGCACCTCAGGAGTCAGGGGCACGGCAGGGTCTGACTAGGCGCATCTCTCCGGGCATCCAGGCTTCTAACCTTTAAACTGTTCTAGCCTCGCCCCTCTCCCAATAGGTGAGAGCTACAAACTTGAGCCCACCGGCTCCCTCCCTCAGTAAAGACCTCAACTTTGGCAGAAGGCTGTCACTCCCGGCGTCCGAGGCATAAGGAGCGGTAAATCGCTCAGTGTGTGCGGTCTGAAGCTCGGGGGCTATTTCAAGGCCAATGTCCAAAAAGAACCAAAGCACGAAACGGCTCCTCCCGGGGTCCCTCTCGCCAGATGAAGTTGTTCTGTAGCCCCGGCCCTGGTCCACGGGAGGCGGCCACGACTCAGAGGTCAGCTCGCCAACCGGGGCACCCTCCCGGGCTTCCCCTCGCGGCGGCCCCCGCCCCCTGCGCTCACCGATCTTGGCCAGGGAGGCCAGCAGGATCCACAGGGTGATCTCGAAGGGGATCTGCACGTGGGGGTAATCCAGGGTGAACACCGGCAGGCGGCTCTCCTCGAACGGCGTCGTCCCGGGCGCCACCACGCTGGCCGGGCTGGGCGGGCTGGAGCTGGTGCCCATGGCCCGCGGCGCGTCCAGCAGGGTCTC